TATTAACAAACAAACATACAGAGACGTAACATTAGTTTTGAAATGCTGTAACTTTATGTACAATTTTATAAATAATTATGAAAAAGTGAGTAAAACACAAATAGTAAGTGACTGCTCTTCCTCAAGTGTGTGAAAATGACCCACATCAGAACACAGTCATATGTTGATAGTTTACACTGTGATTGACTGTCATCCAACAATCATACATTGAAGTACGGGTGGCTCAACTATTCCCAGAAATAGCGTATTGTATACATTTGATGCTCGACTTGTGAAAACTACTCCATGCGAGAGGTTGAGGCAAATTTTCATGTTTCACTAAGGGCTATATAGAAACTCCCAAGAAGGTACCTGAAAGTTGTACTGTTAAAAATTGAATAGTTCAAGACAGAAAGTCCAAACTCTTCAAAAGTGATATTAAGTAACTACAGATATGCTCTTTACGTGATATACGCCAATCCAGTTAAATTTTGCCAATCACTCAGCTGTGTGCTATTTTCAAGTAAAATCCGATTTTTCTACAAGTATCAGACAGAGAAACCCGTAAATAACATTTTCTTTCCTTAGGAATTTCTTCCACTTACAAATTATGTAACAGTTATAGTACAAATTACAAGGTTTCGCCTCGCGGGTGGCACCTTTCGCCTCCCCCTATTGTACTTACAGTAAGCATTTACATGCTTCAGAACTGTCATTTTGGAATGAAATAAAGTTAAGAAAATTTCTAAGACTGTTTGCTTATTACAATTATTTTAATTTGCATGACTGAAAATAATCCTATCACGCTAAGTAAAACACTCGATGCTCCATCGTCTAAGAATTGCATGCACCATTGACCATTTATCCACTCATCAATTTTTAGTTGATTAAGCTAAGATATTCTTGCATTATTCTTTTGAGAAACACCAGGTAAAAACCTGTTTGCAGTATGGGCTAGTACATTTTTCATGCCAACTAACATGTTTATAACTCTGGTAATTTTTTTCTTCTACAGAAGGAGGAAGTGAAATATTGTCAAAGTTGGAAGTATTATGGAGAAAGTGTCAAAACAACTTGTTTCACATTTGAGTAGCTAGTATATGACATTTGATTAACCCTCGTTTTAAAGTTCAGTAGAATAATGATCCAGAACTTAGTTCTCTCCTGCGTAAAGGTATTTGAATGAGAAAGAAAGAACTTGTGATGTAAAATTTACAAAATGATCAACTTAATGTCATATATTCATTGAATTGAAAAGTTTTAAAAAACTAATGAACGTACAAAAAAATAAACAAAATATCAACATATAGTCTTAAAAAATAGGTAAATGATTGATGAAGTGATAAAGTTAAAGTGAAATAATACCTGCTAATTGATTAGTGCTATGTTCCAAAAATGAAGTTTTTATCTCTAATATTTTTTACTACTGAGTACAAATATACCTTTAAATCACCATTCTTTTGCATCCTTTCACAAAATTGTATGTGTTTATACTTTGGACTCAGACTTCTGACCAACTCATATACAGAACCGCAAACCAGAAACTCAAATACTAATAAGAGCACTTACCGTATTCAATTTACCATACTTAAAAAAATTTACTTACCATGCAAAAAAACAAAAAAAAACAAAAAAACTGCTGAGGTACATATTACTTTTAAACTTACCCTTCACCAATTTTTTATCTTGGTATATTTTTTATCGGGATGTCTCACAAAAACAACTCTTCTCAACCTTTCCATAATCTCCTCATCTATCATTTTATTTTCCTTCTACTTGGTTGACATCTTGGTATATTCTTTATTGGGATCTCCCACCGAAACATTTGACTTGGTTGGCAAATTGTTGTTAATTGTGATGTCCTTCCCATCAAGTCCAAGAGGTGAGCAATTCTTTATTTCCTCTTTTTCAATAGGTTTTGTATACTGGTAAAGACACGTTGTTATTAATTTTGCAACTATGAAGTAATAATTCTAGACCAATGATATATTTACAGAGTAACTGTGAACCCAATATAAGTGAAGTAATCAAAAAGAAGCATTTGAATCATATAATCCCAAGATTGTGAAAAAAATCAAAACCTAGATTGCCGTTGGTAAAAAACAGTAAAATAACCCAAGAGTAGTATTGAACACCATCGTTATAAATTTATCATTTAAACCAATTGAAGCTTTGTAGTGTCAATTACGGTTTGTGTTTTCGTGTAACACCCTGAAGAAGCTGTAAAACGAAACGTTGAGTGTCCAATTAAAGTAAAATAACAAATTTGAAGGCCTCTAGTAGCACAGCGGGCTTATGCCGCTAAAAATCAGGTTTCGATACCCGTGGTGGGCTGAGCACAGATAGCCCTTTGTGTAGCTTTGTGCTTAACCATAAACAAACAAATTTGGAGTTGTAAAGTCGTTTATTACCAGTAATAAAATGTATCTTATACAACAATACGCACTGCAGAAATTGAATAATAGGAAGTATTATAAAACAACAATTAATATACCACACAAATATGCGTTTGTCAACAAAGATTAATTATAATGTCACGACTGCTGTATAGAATATTCTAAATTACACCATTAAAGTTATGAACAAAGTTAAATCTCCTATTTAGACAAAGAATCAATCTCTCGTGTTTTTATTATAAATAACACCTCTTGTATTGTTCTCTGCTGTTGGTGCAACATAAATCCATTTAATTATTATAAGAAATAATAAAATCTACACAAGTAATACTTCCAATCATCAATAAATAATTCAACAGATAATAATGTAATTGTGTTCAACTGAAAATTTATTATTGTCGTTGTTTTGTTTAATTGGCTAAAAGATTCTTAATAAATATAATGCATTAAACGGTTTGAATTAAAATCTCACCATTAATTCCTGAAGGTGTAGAAATATTGTAAACACTACGTAGTGGATAACTAGGTTCCTTAAGTTATATAAATATGTATCTCCTACTGAGCACCCTTGGTTTTATCTTCTATACTCAGGATAACTGACAAGAGAAAGCAGATTTAAAAGTATTAAGTAATAAGATCTGTAAATTTTGTAACATGGTGAATAAATCATTACTTTCATATACGTACCGATAATATGGATACACGTCTTTGCAGAAATCCGTAGGATCAACAACTGCAATTACATCAGTGTAAATATACAGTAATTGCGAATTGTGAAAATTAACACAAAAGATTTGCTTCATTAATTATTGATTCCATAACATGTTTAAGGATATAGCTAAATAATGACGGATTCAGTCATTCAATAAAGAGACACAATATCATCTTTGTTGCTTTAATTCCACATATCTTGCACAGTCAAATACTTTTGACAAGCTAATTTTTTTTATTTAGAAAAGTATAAAAACAAGTTTCATCGAGTCTCATGATTTACCCAAAAATCAGGATATATGTTGTTCATGACTGAGGAGAGAAAGGTTTTCAATTTTTAGCTATGTTTGTTTTGTTCCTGGGTTATTTTGCGTATGTATGTCAAACATAGGATATTAAACTGAAGTGTAGCCATGATAAGCGCGATTACAGCGGACTGGAAAAATCTTAGGAGCTTCATGGCTTTCGGCAAGTGTTTTAAGCAATTTGATGTATTTAGTTTTATGTGTATTGAAGCTAACACTATTGCCATGTCAGAAACAAAAATTAGATATACTTTTTCGAGTGGTAGCGATTTTTCTATACACTGCGTATAACTGAAAATCATACCACTAATGTCGCAAATATTATGACAAACAATAACAAGAATCTGTACAACTAGCAGAAAGCATAGGTTGTTTTTGATGAAAAATTGGTCATCAGATCTTTTAAAAAGCGAAACCATTTTCACAAAAAAATATTCTATAACCTGTTTGATACTTTTTTTATAGCTAAGAACGATTAAGCTTAATTGTTCTAGTTTCTAAGATTTTTACCGTTAGCAACATGACGTGTCTACAATATCAGATAGGGCCCGGCATGGCCAGGTGGTTAGGGCGCAATCTGAGGGTCGTGGGTTCAAATCCCCGTCCCAGCAAACATGCTCGCCCTTTAAGCCGTGGGGGCGTTATAATGTGACGGTCAATCCCACTATTCGTTGGTAA